GTTCATACGTCCACACAGAGCATCTTAACGTCACCTCGTCTCTGTCCGTCTCTTCAGTCACTGGTGGAGACGGAGACATTATGAGAGAAAGAAGATGAACTTAAATACTAAAATTATTATTATTATAATGTTTCAGCATATTAATCTGATACGACAGTTTATAAACATTATGATGTAAATACTCACTGGAAACAACAGACAGATGAACCTCAGCATCTTCATGTTGTCCTCCTGGACTGAACTGTCTGCAGACATAAAGACCAACGTCTCCACGTGTGACCTTCTTCATAACCAGAGAACAGTTCTGTGAAACACTCAGTCTGTCTGATTCAGCTTTGGCTTCAACAATCTGCCCGTTTCTAACCAGAACTACTGCTTGTGTGCTTCTTAAATAAGTGAAGTACCACACAGTAGAGTCACAGTTGTTCTGGTCCTCAGTCACACTGTTACAAGGCAAAGTGACTTCATCTCCATCTCTGACAGTGAGACGTTGTTCTGTTGCTGCTTCTAAGAAGATGAGAGAGAAGTAAAAGGAACAAGGAGAAATAAAACATGACTTTTAGTGTCAGTGTGAAGATCATTTTAGACACAACAACAGTTTACAAATGTGCCTCATTGTTGGTTTCTAAGAGTTCATTAAACTCACGATTCACCTGGATGGAAACAAACAGACGACTTGTGCGTCGTCTTTAAATGAAGCTTTGCTCATAAATAACATGAATATATTAGTAAATGATCTTTCTAGTGTTTCTGTAGTCATACACACATTCTATGTGTTCTTACCTGTAAACTGAAGCATCAGAATCAGCAACAAAGAGGTTTGAATCCCTCTGAATTCAGCCATGGTTCTTCTCCGTCTCTCGTCTCTCTGCTTCTTCCGTCTTAAAGACAAAGGATGAATCTACTTCCTCTTGTTGATAAAGAGTCACTTCCTCGTCCCTCTCGTCTCTCATACGTCACTTGTTGCTTGTTTTATGCACTTAAGGCGAACATGAGCAGGTGTGAAATTCACACTGACATCAAGCATCTGGATTTAACACCAGAGACAATTTAACCCTTTTGGGTTCAAACTGTTTCCAGAACTCTCAGAACTCAAAGTTTCACCTTTCTTCATTCGATGATCTGATCTGATGGAGCAACAAACAAACTGCACTAAGACGCCGAGTCTCAAGGTCAAGAGTCCTTTCCCATGATGCATCGGTGCCGCCGCCATACAAGCGGAGCATCAAGGGCCCATCGTGTTCAGTCCCAGAGTGAAACTGAAGAAGAGGAGTGAGGAAGTCAAAGGTGTGTGTACTGGATGACGACTGAACGCCTCTATATCAGAATCCGCCTCGACGTAACGACCCCATAGTGCCGTGGATCACATGTGAAATACTCATAATTATAATAACATTATAAAACGAGACACTGTCCCAGCAGGCGACCCAGTCGGGGCCTCTTGGGCCGGCCAGGAGTGCAGCGTGTCCCCCTGGTGCCCTGGTAGGATCTAGGTTTACCTGTGATATGGAGCCCGGTCAGGTGACCTGGGGCACAACACACAGTGCGGGTTGGTGAGGAGAGTTTAGGCTACGGGGGGGTCATAAGCTCCAGGCCTCGGGGCCGGTGCCAGGGTCTGGTTCCCCGGGGTCGGCACTGACGGACCCACTACGCCTCCTGGCTTCAGCCTCTGGTCCTCCGCCTTAAATCAGCTGTGGGTGAAGGAGGGAAGAAGGAGACATCGGCTGTAGTTTGGACTCTGGGCCTCTGTCTTAAGAAGAGAAGCACGAGAGCGCCCCCCTGTGGACACCAGGAGGTGTTGTACCTCAGCAACGATACGAGACATGCAGGTAGACGAGAGAACACGCTTTTACTTTAAATCAGAAATAAATGTTTACCGACGGCTTTCTCCAAATAATATTCAGCCTTTTGGGAACAAAACAAATAACACAGTCAAACAACAGAAGATGCAGCCGTAATAATAATAATACTAATAGTACTACAGCAGCTCACGTGATCTGAAGGCGCCTTCCGGTCATATTGTAACAGACTGACATGTTCTGTGAGCGAAGTGACACATAAAGAGTTTGTGCTTAAAGAAATTATTTCCCCCTTACATTAATTTTACTTTTATACTTTAAGTAGTTTTGAAACCAGTACTTTTACTTAAGTAGAACGCTTGAGTTGATACTTCAACTTCTACAGAAGTCTCTTTAAACCCGAGTATCTACACTTGTACTTGAGTAATGAATGTGAATACTTTTGACACCTCTGGTTACATCATCACATTTATGTTGTAGTTAATTCCCTCATCCTCAACTGTAGGAGGCGCCAGTGAGGCAGAATCACCCTGTTTGACAGCCCTTTGTCCTGATCGGGGTTAACAACAGTAATAATAATGCATACTAGGTAAACATGTCCTGTTCACTTGTTGTACACGTGGTTGTTTGCTTGTGGGCAGTTTGTGCTTTAAAGCAGCTGAGAAGGACCTCTGGTGCCTCTCTGGAGACAAAGAGCAGAGACGCTGGTATTCTGTTGGACATTTTAATGAAGCTCACAATCGACTTTTCATTCAACCTTTATTTGAAATTAAAAATGCCGAAAAAGAATAAAGCATAAAGCTCAAAGTTCATTTTCATTCCAGTAAGCTGAAAACTTTACTCAGTAAAACACGACACAATCACATTCAGCAAACTAAAACAGCAACATTCACTTAAATGGTGACAAAATAAATGACAAGAAGCCCTGAAGCCGTCATCGTGTGCATGCAGGGACGCAGTATAACGGATGCACGTGTCTCTAAGCGTCTGCTTTCCCGAACTCCCATAATGCATCACAGCAAACGTCCACACGTCTTCATGACGCAGCCTGCGCTGATCCTAAACGTCTCCATCGGGCTACAAACAGTCATGTGACCTCTTATCTGGCTGGTTTGGTGACGGTGGCGTAGAGGGCGGCGGGGTCAGCTGCAGCGGAGGGACGGGGGGGCTTCAGGGTGGTGTAGGTCACTGCGCCACCTTCCTCCTCATCATCGGGATGAAGGCCGGCCTGCAGGGAGAGAGGAAGACTCATGAATCCAAACTCAACATGTAGAGTCCTCACTCTGGGGACAGACGTCCTCTTTGCTGAGGAGACGCTGGGACACGTTGGTCCAGCTCAGCTCACCTGGGCTCTGCCGGCGGTGTTCTTGGTGAAGCTGACGGAGGCGTAGGCCACGCCTCCTTCAGGGTCGTCCTGCAGAGAGGAGGAGACAAGATGGCTGCTCAGAGACCCGCTGACTCCCTCTTTCCTCCCTCAGTTCAACGTGACTCAGCTGCTGGTGGAGCTCATGATGGTTTAGAAGTTTAATTATTCATGTTTTAAACTCACCGCGTCGTCATCCGTCTTTGTTTTGTTCCCTGAAAAGACAAACAAAGAGGACGTGTTGAGCTCATCATTTAAAACGTGTTGTTCGTAGCAGTTCCATCTGTGGACGTCGTCACCTTTAGTTCTCCTCCATGCGACGACTCCCAGTGTGATCGCCACGAGAGCTGCACCCCCCACAGAGACGTAGACCAGGGACCACCACCAGGCTGAAACAGAGGAGGGACACAGTCACAGGGTGATGATCAATAGATGATCTCTGATAGATGATCGATAGATGATCTCTGATAGATGAATCACCTGAATGAATAAAATAGCAAAGTGAATCAAACTGTACAGTTAGAAAATAACTCAAGTATCTGACGTCATGATTAAAGAACAATGTGGTTTAAGAGGTGAAATATGAACAAATCCTTTGAGTGATCATCCACATGTGACTTTAAGCAGCTCATCATCTTCTCACCTGACTGAAGACGCCTGAAGGGGAACTGATGACTTTCTCCACTTTGACTATCAATCACTTCACATGTCAGTGACTCATAATGATCTTTTTTAATGCTGAATGAGGCTGAACAGACGTGTGATGTCATCACTTCAGTGTGACTTCCCTCTTTGAGCCACTTCACTGTGTGTCCACACCGTCCATCAGTCCACACAGAGCACTTCAACTTCACCTCATCACCCTCCTCCTCTTTTGTTATTTTAAACTTTCAGCACATTGTTCCAACAATAAAGTAAGAATACTTACCGTCAACAACAGATAGCTGATAAACGACTTCCCCTACTGGTGGTCCTTCTCCTGATTGAAACTGTCTGCAGGTGTATTGACCAGCATCCTGATCTTTGACCTTCTTTATAACCAGAGAACATTCCTCTGTAACACTCAGTCTGTCTGATCTGTTGTTGGCTCCTTCTTTAAACTTCCCAAGTTCAAACAGTGCTACTGTACTGTTTGAACTACTAAAGAGCCACGTAGTACTGTTACACTTCTTCTGATCATGAATCTCACTCTCACAAGGAAACGTGACTTCATCTTCATCTCTGACAGTGACGGATGAAGTTTCTACAGATGTTACTGTTGAAAAATACAGAAAAATACAGTAAACATGACGGTAAAGTTCCTACAAATGTCAAGGATGCGTGGAGGAGGCAAGACTCAGATGCAGACTTCTCGGAAACAAAAGACTTTAATTGTCAAAAAGGAAAAATCAAAGGCCACGGGGCAAAAACACACAGGAACTAGGGGAATAACAGCAGGCATGAAACTATGAACATCCAGGACGATAGACAATGACGCAACAAGTGACACAAGAGACACACGACTTAAATACACAAGGGAGGTGCAGGTGATTGGACACAGGTGGAAACTATTAGACGATCACAGGGGATGACGGGACGAGGCAGGAAGTGAAGTTACCCGGGGACACGAGTGGCAGAAAACTACAAAATACAACAGGAAGTGAACCACACCGTGATAACAAAGTGTTGTAATAATTGCAGATGTGTTTGTAAATGCGTCTCCTTTATGGCGTCTCACAGGCTTCAGAAGACTCCTGGTGACGTTAAACAGAAGCTGCAGACTCACCTGTACAGCTCAACACCTGCAGCATCACCAACGAAGACGTCATAATCCACCTGAGTTCAGCCATCGTGCTTCTCTCTCTCGCTCTCAGCCCTCAAAGCGTCCGCTGCTCCTTCAACATGGACGCAGCATCTAGTTCCTGTCGTCACTTCCTCGCGATGCCCTCAGCCCTCCTCCGTTTACTGTTCCAATCATGTGTGATATTAACTTCTTATTTCAACTCGTGGATTTTAGCGAGTGATAATGTTCATAGTTTTATGTGTAATAATGTGCATTGTATGTCAGAGTGAAGTAGAACAGGATGGAGGAAGTAGAGCGTGTTCAGTTCAGGTGAATGTTTGCATCAAAGCATCTCGTGCTCTCTGATTGTGGTCGGTTCCTATTTCTGTCTCATAGTGAGTGTGAAGTCACCACCTTGCATGCGAGCTGGAGTCATGGCTGCTGTGAAGAGGTCACGTGACCCCCGAACGCAGCCTGAGCCCAGATGGTTTTAGATGCATTTAACAGACACTCAGATAAACGTCGACTTTTCACTACGAGAGTGTGTGTGTGTGTGAGTGTGTGTGTGTGTGTGTGTGTGTGTGTTGGAGAAAGAGACAACAACACATTGTGAGATCAACACAACGTCCATCTTGATTTTCTGGTTGTTTTAAATGTGAATCTTTGAGTTCATCGGGACGGAAACCAAAGAGAAAAGTGCCAACAGGTGTTTGATCACAGAGCTCCTCCCCCTCGTTAGCAGAGGCCGCTGGTTGGGCCTCTGAGCATCAGGTGACTCACCTGAGCAGCGAGACGCTCCAACTTCCACTGAGAGGAAGTGCAGCATTAAAGATCCTACACATGCATGTATTAATACACGGAAGTAAAGAAATGCACATCAAATAAACATCAGCAGAAATACGTGTACGCATGCACACGCACACCTGCAGCTTCTAGATGAGCCGGTTTAGTCTGCAGGAGTAAATGTCACCAACCAGCAGGCCGGGGAGGAAGCGCTGTGACACTGAAACTGACATCATCATCTTTTTATGACTTCTTAAACGTTTAGACTGGAAACACCTCCAGAGCGGAACACGCCAGCAGGTGTCACATGACTTCACTTCTGACAAACAGATCAAATAAAGACCTTCAGGTTAGAGATGATGACTCTAGTGCCCCGGTGCCCTCTGCATCGGCCCCCAGTGGAGAAAACATGTAGTATTGTAATTACATACAACAGATGGTTTGTGGATTTATACCATTATACATTTTTCATCAGTATCAAGATTTAAAAAACTGTAGTTTTAAAGAACTGTTTTCTGTATCGGTGCATTTTACTATTAATCAACAAAAACTCTATTCCTGTTTTTATTTAAATGAATAATGATTTATTCCACTTGCTAATAACTACACATTCCTTTCATGTAACAACACTGTGACGACGGCCTCGGCGAACACGTTAAACGTGTTAAGAGCTGCTGAGGATGTAAACGTTTGCAGCAAATTAGCTTCTGTTGGGCTCCAACAATACAGGTTCTACTGGTGCGTTGATCCACCAGCATCAACAAGTACTTTTACTTACTTGTAGTGGAGTATTTTTACATTTAGGTATTGTTGCCTTTGCAGAAGTGTGTTGATATTTCTGTGCGTTATCAGGTAACAAGGCAACAAGGTGACTTTGTGAACATGTGAGTGCTCAGTGAGAACAGAGCTGTTCAACCAATCAGAGGAGAGGTTCACTACTACAAGTGGACCAGAGGAGGGAGGCTGCAGACCAGAAGAGGGAGGACGTTCAATGACCACCATGAAGCTCTTACTACATGGAGGAATCACACAGCACAGTGTAGCATGACGCTGTCTTTATTTATTGTTATCACATGTTATAAAGACAAAGTTACTGAAACACAAACACATCCCAACAAACATGTGAATGCTGAATGAATCTGATCTGCAGACGTGTTGCTCAAACTCCAGCAGCAGGTCTCATGTTTTCATAGTTCACTGTGTCATCTTCTGCATCATAACGCACCTGTGAGAAACAACACAATCAAAGCCACACTTTACACCCCCACCTCTCTGACGTGCTCCACCCTCCATGTAGCATCCACCCTGCGGTTCCCCCTCATGTGGACACTGTGAGCTCAGTCGCTAAGTGTTAGCTCTGCTAGCATTGGTGGGCCGTTAGCACCGTTAGCTGCTAGAAGCTCTAAAGCGACTCGTGTTGGAGTGAAGAAATACTGCAGATAAGAACGTCATGAAGCGATGAAGCGTTTCATTGTTAACTTGTTAAAGACTCACAGCGTTTTCTTCCGTCTGTGTTTTCCTCTCTGGAGACAAAAGAAAGAGTCGCTTTAGTTTCACCAGCAAAAGACGTCTCTCATCAAAATGTCTTCAGCTTCTTCACCTTTAATTCTAATCCACATGTTGACGACTACAAGTATTATTATGAGTGCTGCTAATCCAACGGACACAGAGACGAGCCTCCACCCGCCTGCAACGACAATCAAGCACACACACATATTAGATTTAAAGACTTAAATAAGAACTTTATTCATATTTAATTACGTTAAAAGGTTGAATGTTGAGAAAGAAAGATTCTACATAAAGACACAAACACGTAGAGTCTCTATGTGGTTCTGCTGAAGCTTCTCTGATTGCTGAAGTTGTCGTTGTGTCTTCACCTGAACAAATGAAAATAACACAACTAAATAAATGAAACTTAAAATCCATTAAAAACAGAATGGAAGTGACTTCAGAATATTCTCACCTGTTTTATCACCTGAGGGAGAAAACTGCATCACTTTGTCTCCATCGGTCACTTCACACGTCAATGAAGTGAAGCTTGATGTGTAAAAGAAGTGAGAAGTCATGAAGGACAGAGAGGCGGAGCAGAGAGACGGTGATGTCTTCACTTCTTTGTCTTTGTCCACATCTTGACCACCATTCATCCACTTCACTGTGTGTTTACATCCTTCATACGTCCACACAGAGCATCTTAACGTCACCTCGTCTCTGTTCGTCTCTTCGGTCACTGGTGGAGACGGAGACATTATGAGAGAAAGAAGAGGAACTTAAATACTAAAATCATTATTATAATAATGTTTTGTATTAATCTGATACGACAGTTTATAAACATTATGATGTAAATACTCACTGGAAACAACAGACAGATGAACCTCAGCATCTTCATGTTGTCCTCCTGGTCTGAACTGTCTGCAGAGATAAAGACCAACATCTCCACGTGTGACCTTCTTCATAACCAGAGAACAGTTCTGTGAAACACTCAGTCTGTCTGATTCAGCTTTGGCTTCTTCAATCTGCCCGTTTCTAACCAGAACTACTGCTGGTGTGCTTCTTGAATAAGTGAAGAGCCACTCAGTAGAGTCACAGTTGTTCTGGTCCTCAGTCACACTGTTACAAGGCAAAGTGACTTCATCTCCATCTCTGACAGTGAGACGTTGTTCTGTTGCTGCTTCTAAGAAGATGAGAGAGAAGTAAAAGGAACAAGGAGAAATAAAACATGACTTTTAGTGTCAGTGTGAAGATCATTTTAGACACAACAACAGTTTACAAATGTGCCTCATTGTTGGTTTCTAAGAGTTCATTAAACTCACGATTCACCTGGATGGAAACAAACAGACGACTTGTGTGTCGTCTTTAAATGAAGCTTTGCTCATAAATAACATGAATATATTAGTAAATGATCTTTCTAGTGTTTCTGTAGTCATACACACATTCTATGTGTTCTTACCTGTAAACTGAAGCATCAGAATCAGGAACAAAGAGGTTTGAATCCCTCTGAATTCAGCCATGGTTCCTCTCCGTCTCTCGTCTCTCTGCTTCTTCCGTCTTAAAGACAAATGATGAATCTACTTCCTCTTTTTATTGTAATTTCATTTCCTTGTTCTTGCGTTTCATCAAACATCACTTGTTGCTTAACTTAAAGTCACATCTCTGCATTTAGTTCTCTGATCTGATGCAGCAACAAACAAACTGCACTAAGACTCACGTCGAGTCTCAAGTTCTTTCCCATGATGCACTTGTGTTGCCGACTTACAAGCGAACCAACAAGGACCTGAAGAAGACTGAGGAAGTCAAAAGTGTGACGGGGACCAAATGTCTCTACAATGTCTGGAATATGAAAGGATGCGTCTGTTGGACAAATATCACTTTAACAAAACCACATGTGCTCAAATCAGTCTCAACATGAATGAGTGCACACAGATCCACAAATGTATTCACATCTGCCCCCCTACAGCCAAAAGGCCTTTAAATGTTTTTAATGTGTATCCAACTTCTATTTTGAGACCTGAAACTATCAAACACATCACGAGACATGTATAAGTAGAAAAACGGCCATTTTCATTTGCGATTATAATGCAGAAAATGTTGTTACAGAATCATCAAAGAA